GAAAAGACATTAAAACAGTTGTTTTTTTTTTGGGGGGGGGGGGGGGGCACACCAATGCAGCACATGACATAACTGCCTTGTTGTTTACACTTCTGTACCACTTTACGGTAAGATTTAACTGACTTGATAAGAAATAACAAAATACCATTTTCTCTTAGTGGAAGAGAAGTATCAGACCCCCCTCAAGTAATGTTAGTAGTCTTGCCCAGCTCACCTCTATGAACTACGTACATCTGCCTCTTCTGCTCTCTACATTTTAGGACAGCACAGTGCCCCTTTATCAAGGCGTAGACAAGACAAATACATCTATGCCTTGATAAAAGGGACCCATTGTTGCCGTATAAAAGGTTTTGTTTTTTTTGCACAAACTTCTGGATTAATGAATACTCGTGTGGTGCTGGTAACTTCCTGAATACCTGGGTACCTACCATTTGCCAACTCAAGCCCACTTTGGTAGGATTACAAAAGCAAGGTGAGCAGTGTGCACTATAGTAAGTTGTGAAGCCATAACGGATTGTGTTCCCAAAACGTATCTCCTTTCAGAGCTCTACAGAAGTTGTTATAATTAGGGATGCATCGAAACATACTGTCCGAAAATGGCACTTTTGGCAAAATGACGAAAGTGCCATCTTTCGGCCGAAACTGCGGTGCATGCCTAGTTTCTCTCCTCCCCACTGGGCGCTGCTCTGTGTGCCTTCTGACACAGTGCAGCGCCCAGCGTGAAAAGAGAGGAACTGTCAGGAGCCGAGGGGGGAGGAGAGAGCTGTGAGCGTGTCACAGGAGGCTAAGCTCTCCTTCCGCGCTGCCCCGCTCAGCCTCCTGCACAGATCCCCACAGCGGTGTGGGGGCGGAGACAGCTGTCACTGGAGACCATGGTCGCAGGGAAGGGGAGGAGCCAGCTGTTAAATGAGGCCGAGCTCTGCTCCCCGCGCCGCCCACTCAGCCTCCTGGGACAGCTGATCCAAGATGGAGAGCAGTACAAGCAGTCATTGATCAGTGATCACTGAATGTTTGTAAATAACTGGATATAGTATGAGTTATATGTACCAGTTATGAATGAACAGGAAGTGATATACATCACATCCTATTCATTCATTAATGTGTACATAGTAACTCATACTATATCCACAAGTTAGGAATGAAGAGGAACACTCAGTACAGTATAGAGGATTCCTGTTCGCTCAGTGCTGGGGCTGCAGAAAAAGAGATTGTGTCCTCAATCTTTTTCTATTGTAAAAGAGAAATATCAGGGGTCTATTTATCCCCCGAAGCCCCCAACAGTAAAGATAAAAATTAAAAATATTTAATAAAAATAAATAAATTATAAAACAAAAATGTAAAAGTTTTCAAATATATTTTTTTTAATTTAAAAAGGTTAGAAAAAATAAATAATTTTCAGTTTCGGCCTGACTTTTATTTTCGGTCTCAAAATTTCATTTCGGTGCACCACCACTAGTTATAACCTAATACCTTGAAGCCTGGCCCAGTAAAGGCTTTGTGTCCACACTGCAGGATGCCACTGGTGTGGCGTGGCTGAAACAACTAGTTATGAAAATCTACTACAGCAACATACAAGACTGAATTTATGCATAAACTGTCTCTTTTTATAAAGTTCATGTACCTTCAAGAACAGGAAACCCAGACGCGTGTCCAGCCATTGTGGAGTTTATTTTTTTTTAATTTTTCTTATTTTTTTCTTCACAGACTGAAGTAAACAATGATATAAAATAGGACATTAAGGCGCACACTTCAGAGATTCCACACACAGCTTGCGATAGGGTCGCCACCCGTTGTACCTAGCACAACTGCATGTAAAGCTCTGGGCCAAAACTCATCCTTTTTCAAAAGGCCCAACGTTCAGCTATCGCCAAACCAAGGGCTGTATTGGTCCAAGAACCTCAATCCTCACCATAGCCTGTGCAAACGGCAGTCTCTCTTACCAAGTGGATGAATGGAGCAGAGGGCATTCAACACACAGTTTATGAAATGTCTGGATCTATCAGGTCAAACAGTATAGAACAGTAATAGGGCAGCCGATGCATGGCATTCCAGATCCAGCATAGCAAACTGTCAAGTAATGGCTAGGGTTGTATCCGGCTGTTGTCCGACGCGGGGCGTGCTTCACCCTCCAGGGGCGGCTCAGTTCAGGACAGGTTTATGTGAGGAATGACTTAGGCCAAGTCTTATGATGTGTCTATTACTAAGTCGCTGGACATCTCACACATCTATTCGTCAGCCCACTGACCGTTTGTCGCATGGCCGTTCACCCTGTTTGCCCCGTTGCTGGATGTGTTGTGAATTCCTTTGGTGCTATGAACTGCTGTATCCTCTTCTTCCGAACTGCTTTCTATGTCGCTGCGTTCATCTTTTACTACCTGCAAAATAGAGATGATGTAAGTAAATTTAACAGACAGTGCTCTGCACATGGTGGTTATAAGCGAGTAGACAAGATGATCTTAGTAGGTAATTAGTCTGTACAATTGACATGGTGCCCAGTACATCTCCTGTATGAGAAAAAGAAGAAGCTGTGTAATCTTTCCTCTACACTTAGAACACTGAGGTGGTAAGTGATTTGACAATCTTATTGCTAGGTACAACCAACCTGGACCTGCGTAGCATTAGTCGCCCCCCCACCACTCCAGGTATCATCAGCGTCCGCCCCTGCGCTGTGATGTGTGCACTTCCTTTCAGATCACACAAACACATGATGAGAGATTGCTCATGTATTGTAAAGTCTATACATGACTTTGCTGCTTAATAGTGCACTTCATTCCTCGAGAGTTATAGCTGGACAAAGGGGAGGCTGCAACTCTTAAACGCCCTATGCAAGCCCACTGGCTCCACTGGCTTGAAATCTTCTTCAGTTAAAGACCTAGGACAGTGGTGGCGAACCTTGGCACTCCAGCTGTGCCAAAACTAGACATCCCAACATGCATCTGCCTCCGGGAGTCATGCCTATGGCTGTCAGAGCCTTGCAATGCCTCATGGGACTTGTAGTTCCAAAACAGCTGGAGTGCCAAGGTTCGCCACCACTGACCTAGGACAAGGAAATTCTCATGACCGTATCAGCATATTTGTTTCAGATCGCTGAAGCCAGAGGGCCAGCATATCAACCCAGCAACTAGCATTTTCAGGAGAACTGAACAATGGCAATCTTCTTCTTTCCGTCAGGACAGGTGCCCCTTTAACCCCATAACCACTTGTGTCACATGCTATGCTTAAATTCCCACATAACAAATAGACAATATACTGGTCACCACCGAGGTCCTACAAGGCTGGAAACTGAAGAAGAGATTAATACAAACTCATATACAAGCCTCAAGGTAGAAAACAGCAAATTGCAGGCACACATATACCCATGACCTCTACTCCTCGGGTTACCCGGAAAAGAAATGCCATTAGGTGCATGCTATTTGCCATAAAGATTATATTTGCAGCCATATTGCTTCTTTTCAGCTCTCACTGCTGGAAATAAAGGTGGTTATAGCAACAGATGATACAGCTTTGTGAACTGAGCCTATTGATGTTACCAGATAATAAAGAGAAGGGTGCGCTGAGGAATACATATATACTGGATTATCGGATTGGATTTCTTGGCCTTTCACCTCTAGGAATATTTTTAAAGTGGTACACATGTATAAAGTCAGACAATGAAACAAGCTACAGGCAACTCCCAACATTTTTGGGGGGGCTCTGGAACATTGGTTGGATAGGAGGTAATGCATGAATATCGGCCGAATGATATGAAGAGTTGATATGAAGGGGTTGTGACGAGGAGGAGAAAGTAATCCTGTATACCAGGGGTTATGAAATGGCCGACCATGGTCGGTGCTCGATCATCTGTATTGGAGGGCAGGGGGGAGATCAGTGGTCTAATAGATCCTTGATGTCTCCATAAAGAGAACCTGTCACCTCCAAATGCTCTCACATTAGGGACTGGTTATAGCACAAGTGAAAAAACAAAAACTAAATTAGGTGATAAAAAGTACAAAATAATCAAATAAATCACCTCCCGACTTCCTGATTGGCTGGGAAGCCATGCTGCCTGGAAACAAGTGAAGCCGGCTTCCTTGCCAATCAGAAAGCCGGGAGGCGAGTCATGATGTGCCACAAGGCTTCCTGATTGGCTAGGAAGCTGGCTTCACTTGTTTCCAGGCAGTCTGGCTTCCTGACTGATCAGGAAGCCAGGCAGCCTCGGAAGCTGGTGTTCTTTCACAGGAAGCTGGGCGATGGGTTATGATCTGCCGCCCAACTTCCTGATGATCAGGGCACAATGCATCGGTACTGGCAATCCGCAATCCACCCAAAAAAATATCGGTACTCGTAACCGAAAAAAAACGGTATCTTTGCATCCCTACTATTCACCATCATGTCACAGGGAATATATTTTTCTAATATACCTATATTTAGGCCTAGCCCCTTCCACAGGCAGATTGGAGAGATGTCCTAAAATAAACATTGTAAGGCAGCCGGAATTCAGGCAAAGCGTTTCTAGAGAGATTGCTTTGAAACGAATGACTTTGGGGATAAAAGGCATAATAGATAACGCTGTATTGGCGTCACGCGGTTCTGTTGATCGGGATGAGCCATTCAATTCCCAAATCAGAGGCATTGCTAATGTATTTTTTTCCCATTTGCCTGAATATGTTCATATTCTGCAATGCTGGATCGCCGAACTGCGCACATCTCCGCACATCAGAGGCATCTACACGCACATATTCAGCTGAATCAATAATATCTGTATGAGGATCAGGAATTGAAGTAGTGAGGATTCTCCACAGACCAGACAAGTCAGCATGAATATGTTCAAATCAAAATCTGTGGTTTGCCCGATTTGTAAATCTGTTCATTGATCCCTTATGATGGACACCATATATTAAAAAAACACGTGACTGGTATAAGCAATTATAGGGCAATCTGCTTTCTGGTATGGAACGAACATGTCAAATTGGAAAATATTTTAAGGAAGAACCCCAGGAAGATCATAAAACAAACCTGGGGCTGCTTGTTTTGTCTAGGGGGCTCAAATAAAGTTGATTTACTCCTCCAATCCTCTCTTCCCCTTTGCTCGAGCTGTGGAATATCCATCGGCATTCTTATGTCTAATGCAAGTCAATGAACCTGCATAAGACGTGATGACGTCAGCAGTCCTTAGACCACCAGAGCATAGGGGAGAAGAGGCTGTAGGGACCCGTGTAGCATCCCAAAAGGGAACAGATGAGCCCCAAGGATCAGGTAAGTAAATCTGCTTTATGAGAGTCCCCTCGACAAACGAGCACTTAATCCTTACAGTGCAGGGGTAGCCTCACTGCAATGGTAAGTTTGTGGTTTTTCCAGAGTTCTTTCTTTCAAATAGATGTTAAGTTCTCCTCTGTAACCTGTAAGAATGTAAATGTTTGCCACACTGCGGCAACATTATAGCTCACTTAAGAGTATTAAACCTTGTGGGAACAAAAGATAAGGTTATGTGAACCCAGTGGTGTCACAAGGGGGCCGCAACTCGCACCCGGGTGACAATAAAATGACTGAAAGTCATTTTGGTGTCACCCCCCTTTTGAAATGTCGGGAACTCGGTCGTACACCTAGAGTCCGATAGTTCCAGGAGAGAGGAGGGGACCCGCGGCATACCTTATCCCACTGGGTGAATGTCCCCTCCTCTCTCTGCCAGCGTCCATCACCAAGATGGTCAACGGCAGGTATCAATAAGATGACCGCACATGTGTGATGATGTCATGCGCAATGTCATCCGGTATTCGCCCCGGGTAACACTCAGCCTTGGTACACCCCTGTGTTCACAGGGGTGAACACAGGGGTGTCCCTGAACACAAATGGACAGTACCCATGCAGAGTACTACAGCACTAGACTGGTTTTCAGAGTCAATAGTATTGAACAAGAACTGATGCCAATTTTTAACCTGTCAGATTTTTGTTTTGCCATCCATGTCCCATTGGGGGAGATTTCCCTTCACTTACTGTCCGATAGCCACAACAAGAGTAAATGTTAGTCATCAGAACTAGTGTCCCCTTTGGAAGATTTCCTATCCATTCCTGTTCTGGTAACAACCCAAAATGTGGGATTTTCTTTCACTTTCAGTGATAACAGTCATCAGGACAAACAGAGGGTGAATCACCCTAAAGGTGACACAGCAATAAAAAGCTGACAGGTGCTCTCCATTCCCTCTCCACTCTATACAAAAGAAAATAAAAAAACTTTTGGCTTCCATGATCTTTGCCAAAGTGAGTGCCAGCAAACCCAGAATGAAGCTCATATACATGCCAATTATCAAGCACATTAGGTCAAACATTGGGTATAATGGTTGACGAAGATGTAAATGGATACCGTATGCAACTCTTGCACAACTACAGTACTGTGCAATGCAAGTGCTGAACCTCCAGACAGATGAGGCCATGCTTTGAATGGGAGGCCGGATACCATGTTCTCATCTGCATACAGTCTGTAAGGCTAACCTTGTACTTTACAATGGAAACAGCATAAAGTCCCAACATACAGGGTTTTCATCCTTGAACAACTTAAGTGATGCGACTATAATACCTTTTTGAGTGGAGTGTCTATTTTCCTAGCACGGTTTTAATTCTTTTTGTAGGAAATTTTAACTTATGTAAATAAGTCATTTGGTAAGGTTACAAATACCGGCGCTTTAAGTTTTCAAATTTGAGCGGGTGCCTTAGGTCCCCCGCTTGCTGGGCACCTCGCAAAAGCCTTTTTGGGAACCATGTTGAGCCTGCTTACAGCGCTTCCACTGGCCTGTACATCTCCCCCTCCTAAGACCCCCGGAGCAGAGCGGCAGCACAGAGTATGTAAAAAAACTCATATACTATTATTCTGCATTGTTGTATAATGTATTGCTGATATTTGTAGTCCTCTAGGTGATATTCTGCATTGCTGTATAATGTTATTCTGGGATTTGTAGTCCTCTAGAGCTGATGGTATTCTGCATTACTGTATGTATTGGTGGAATTTGTAGCCCTCTATAGCTGATGGTATTTTTCCTCATCGCTGTTAAAATGTATTGAAGACATTTGTGGTCCCTCTACAGCTTGAAGTCAGGGGCAGAACCACCAGGGTCGCAGCTGTGACCGGGCCCTGGCACTTCACCACTGTCCTAAAATTGTTAGTATGTACTGTTTTAGAAAAACTGTCACATGACACACACACAAAAAAGAAGGTATCTGCGAGGAAAAGTATCGGTAATCGTACTGGAAAAATGGTATCGCTGCATCCCTAGGAGCTAACATTTTTGCACAGGTTTCCTTCCCTGATTATAGTTACAAAACTAAGTAGAAAAAGAATCTTTATTAAACATCTTTACCTGTACAAAACACAGAACATTATGCTCACAACTGCTAACATGGC